TTGCAGGCCCATCACCTAAAGACCCAGGAAAAGCTTTTAATCCGAGGCATTTTTAGAAGGGTATGATTACATCAGATATCTTCATAAGGTGCATAATTACCAGGGCACCAATGACAAAGAAACACAAAGAGCCAAACCTCCCAGGCTGTTGGAGAGTGGGCCCTGCCTGCCAGCCTGGGCCCATTGGTGTGTGGGGTGCTGGGGTGGGCTCCAGAGGTGGGGGACCTCTCCAAGAACCAGCTGTGTTGGGTCCCACTCTTACCTTGGATGGGGAACAGAAAATCCAGCAGTTGTGCTGGTGCCACCCTGAACCCCCAGCTCAGACCAGCCTTCACACCTCCCTGTGTGCTAGGTGTCAGAGGATGAGGCAGGGATACCCTGGGAGCCTGGAGGAGGCACTACTGGGCTGGAAGATGCCTTGGGAAAAACAGCACTTGAGGCAGTTGTAGAGAATCAGCCAGGGGATGATGAAGGGAAGCAGCAGTTGTGGGACCTGTAGAGGGACAATGGTAATGAAATACGCAAAAGGGCCAGAAAAAATGGTGGAAAGTTTGGGAAGAAATATCTGAAGCTAAATGCTATTTGGTTTAAGGATGAGAAAGACTCTGTGAGGTGCAAAATGTTCAGCAGAATGAAATTTCACACCAAGGTGAAAACCACAGATGGGTTGGTGTGGTTTTCACCCTGGGGTGAAAACAGGAGAAAACCTGCTGCGTCTGGAGAGCTAAGCCCGGATCCCTGACCAGCTCCACAGGATGGCATGAGGGCTGCAGTGCACGGTGGCTCCTGGCCTGTCCTGGCTGCCCTCTCAGCCACCACCCCGCGCCAAGCTGCCAGCCCTGCCAGCCACACTCACACACAGCCAGAAGGGACCGCCTGGTTGAAATTTGAGCTCTTTGGCACCCTGACTCTGCTCAATCAAAACAAACCGCACAGCACCTCCGGCACGTCTGGGGGAAGAGGCAACTCCAGCTGGAGGGAAGAAGAAAGGAAAACCTTCAATTTTCCTTGGTTGTTTTGCTCAAGGAGGCACAGCCACAATCATCTGCTAGGACTCCTCAAGGCGGCTGCGGCCCAGAGGTGTCCTGGCAGGACTCGCAGCCACGGGCAGGGGTTCAGTGCAAGACCATGACTCCAAGCAGGTCCTTTGTACTCGCAAACCTGACTCGCAGAGGAAATTCAGATCTGTATGAACACAGAGATGCCAGAAAATCAACCCACTTAAATCAGGCATTTGAAATGCATTAACATCCCTTTCCTTTGGCTCTTGGCTTCAGTCCACTCTGGCTTTAAGCACTGCTGGATGCTGAGCACTGGCTGCAGCAGTAGAGGGGCAAGAGAGCTGAAGATGTTTCTTTCCAGGGGTTTTGCCAGTAAAGAGGAGCCACTTCTTGCCGCATCCTGCAACAGGGGACACTTTAACTGATTGCAAAAAGAGTTAAGTGTACTTAGAACCTTGGTAGATGAGGGCTAAGGTGGGTAATAGCCACAACAGAAGTAGCTGCTTGGGAAGCAATTTAATTAATAGAAATGTAAGAAACAAAAAGGTCAAGCCTTGTCTCTGCTGTGCTGCATTTAATCTGCACATGTACACAGGACTTCAGCCTCGTGGGTGTCGGTTTTTTTTTTCAGCTGGCACATTTCCCCAAACACGATAGCATTTTTTAACTTTAGTGGATGACATTTTGTAATATGTTTAAGGATCTGTAATATTTTATGCTTACAGCTTTTTGCTATTGTTGTTCCAATATGGCACTGATGCCGGAATTAAAGTTTAATATGATTAGAAAGCTCAATTGTATAACCAAGGGGTTATACTCTTTATCTATTCTAATCTGATTAAAAGGCTTCTCTTCTGTAGCTTTCCACAATCACTTTATAGCAAAACCTGGGAGCAAAGCAACCAGCACTTTGGTTTGTTCCAGATCATACAAAATACCAAATTGATTCCTTAATTGTGTACTTAATTCCTTGCCCTACAAAGCTGTGTCCAAACTGCAAACCCGGCTTGTTTGGCTTTAGTGGAGCTGTTCACTGAGAAAGGGCTGTGGAACCAGAGGCCCAGGCTTGCCCTAAGGCTCAATAGCTGCCTGCTGATGGGCAGAAAAAAGGCATTTTTGGTGTTGCTGCCTGGTGGTTTTGCATCACCATGTACTATGCTTTGGGGTAAAAAGAGATTTGGCAGATGAGCCCCCTGCTCAGCAGAGGTTATTCTGTGTGCTATGGATCCACAGGGTTAGCAAGCATAGCTAAGTTAGAGAGTGCTCCTGATGTGTTTGTATGAACCCCTGCACCTTAGAAGTGGGGGGTGGTTGTTCTGCAGAGCACCTCCCTCCATGGCCCCCTAAAACCCCCAGGCCACCACCAGGACCACCAGCACCCATGGAGGTGAAGCTGGCATTCTCCACCACAGCAGGCTGCTGTGGGATGCAAAGTGGCCTCAAAGCTATTCCCTCCTCTCTCTGAACATCAGCCACGGTCTCTACAGGGTCTCTACACCTGGTTGCTGTGGCTAAGCCAGGGTAGGGAAGGTCTGGAAGTCAAGGCTACTACTTGTGAAGGAGAACAAAGAGGGGCAGCCCCTCCTAAATGTGGTATTTGACCTTTACAGTCACAGAGCAGGCTCTGCCCTTCTATTTCATGCCCAATTCCTCCCCAGCTTGTGATGGGAGTGCTTGGCCCTCATCCCTCCTTGTGCACACAAACTTGGCTTTCCCCAGTGAGGAGCATGCTGTTTGTTTGGCTGTGCTTACACCCCACAGACTCCCCCAGCCAGCCTTTACCAGCATAGCTCAACAACACAAACAACCCCCAAACCCAACCATATTCCTTCTCCTAATCAGCTCCAGGCCCAGTGGATGCCACAGCTGACACTGAGCAGGCTGTCTGTAACCACTCTTGAGCTGATTTGATTTCTGAGTTTCCTGTGTGACTCTACAGAAGGGATTTCATCACCACTGTCACCTGCAATGCATCACTGACATGGGTGTTGCATCCATACTCTGCTGCTATTCAGGAGACTCAGCCATGTGAGGTATGGCAACAAACAGAAGGGCAACATCAACACTTAGTTAAGAGTAAGATTTCTTATCAATATAATGTTATTTGAATTGTCCCGGAAGTATAAAGTCTAAAACCTTCTCATCCTCTGAGCAACATGTAATTTAAGAATTGTTCTTCACTAGCAAGACAGATTTATTTCAGGTGTGGCAAGGTCTCTCCTTTCTCTCTGTGTCTACAAACAACCACTTTTTAGGTACCTAAGCTCACCTAGAAGCTGCCTGAGGCAGCTGGGATGAGGATGTTCACTGACCTTCCTTGGCATTACACCACCTTTTCCCTTGTCCTGCCTGGCATGCACATACCTTTTAAGTCATCAGGATTTCCTACCTTAGTTTGTTACTGCATGTTTATGAGCCATTAAAATTGCCTCAGAAGTAAAAAGTAAAAGTTTCTTTTTTAAAAAAGGAATTTGCCTTGCTTCTGATGTTGTCTAGGTCACATTCTGAGAACCAAGCTCAGATTTTCATCATATCCACCCCAGATCTATTACAGAATTTTTAAATATATTCTTACTATATATTTTGCATTCTTCTGTGGCATTGATTTTCCGCTCAGTTGTTCATGACTGTAAGGAGAAAGTTTAGCATGGCAAACAAGCTTTCTACATTTCACTTTGTTGGCATGCTGTGATACAGAATAAGCTCTTTTACATTCTTAGCTGGGGATCCCCAGGGTTGTTTGGCAAAGGCGTTCCTTCCATGAAGTGCCAGCACACAGATGACCAAGTCCACCACCTTACACAAGCTCTGTGCACCTCCCCCTGCAGCAACGAACTCAATTATCTGTCTGTGAAACCAAAACTCTGGTGGTCTGGCTCCTACCTTACAAGAAACATCAGACCTCATAATCTACTGGCAGATGTGGCAGGTTTCTTCTGCATTTCTGTACAGAGGCATGGCTCTCTTTTAAAGGAACTCAACTCTTCATAACTACTGCAAGGAGCAGCAATACAGAGTCTGGGCATCTTTACTGCAAATCACTGAGAAATTGTTTTTAGACTCAGTCTAGCATTGCAGACATCTAAGGATAGAGCATCCTTGCCTGCAGGAGATGGAGATGGGAACTGATAACCAGGAGGCTCAAGTTTCAGCTGTAGAACTGATGTTTCCAGCAAGACTGTCTCCTTGCATCAAGTCTGTGCTGTGAAAACACCCTCCAGCTGATCAGTACCAGCTGCCTTGGAGGGGGAAAGAGGAAACGCTACTTGTGGCAAAGTACCATAAAGCACAGACCTTACCTCCACTCCAGAAACACTTCTCAGTGCTGGGATTAATGGTTAAACAGCTGGTATGTCACCCTGGCAGGGTGAGCATACCCTCAGACCCTTATGGTACATTCACCAACTGTAATTTATGTTAAATCACAGGAGAGAAAAAATTATCTTTAAACCAAGTCTGCACTGAGCTCCCTGTATCTTTTGCAAAGAGTGAGACAACACTTCTGAGTTATTACAATGTGTAGAATGAACTTTTATTTTCATTCATCCTTCATTAATACCATACAATTAGATAGCAATATTTGGAAAAAAAATAATATCGAAATAATTTAAAACAGAAGGCACAGAAAACCAAACCCAACTATTCTGCTACAAGAGAAAGGGGAGAGAGGATTCAGGAAGTGAATTTATTCTGAAGTTTTATCGCTTAGATATTCTGATCAAAAGCTACAGCACACAGAAACAAAACTGCACAGTTTAAGCTAACCCATGCTTTTGCTACATTTAACATATAAAAGGAAAAAAAATTCTAAAAATCTTTTTTCAGGATTTTGAATGAAGAGTGTAATTTTTAAAATAAAAACCACTAAATCTAGTACATATGTCAAAAACTTCCCTAAAGCCTACACACTAAGATGTACTTCACAAAAAAGTCTGCATAAGAGCAAAGCATACAGTTAAACACCATCTGGGGATGGGAGAAAACTGGTTTTTAATCAGTTAGAGTATCATATAAATTTGGTGTCTGCTTCAGAAACAAGGATTCTCACTACAGTAATATACTGGAGAGGACATTCTTTTGTATTTTAATATTATGAAATTAAACCAATAGTATACATTACATAGAGGAATAAAACCATACGAGATTCTTAACTTTTTTTTTCTTTTTTTCCTTTTTTTTTTGTTTTTGCAAAAGAGTAACTTTATTTCTTTTGAAAACAAAGCTACTGGAATTGATGACATGCGATAATATGCCCCGATATTACACCAGCTGAGTTTGAAAATAAAGTTCATGCTTCACAATTGAAATATGCTGTGACTCTCAAATACATTCTCTGGTAATTAATAATACAATACAGAGGTCATTCATAAAATCAGTTCAGGTTGGGAACCTGGTTTATAAATGAAGCTCTTTTCAAATATTGAGAACACTGACAACACACAGGGTTAGCTACAGGTCAGCACATTTCTTTCTGTGCTCCACCCCTCTTTTCTAAAACAAGTGGGTGCTTAGCCTGCAAATATCATGGAAAGGCAAAGTCTAGAAGTTACAGGTTGGTTTGTAAAAATATTAAATACAATCCAAGACAAACAGTATTACTGACAACTTAATAGCAGGTGCTCTCTAAAGGGAAAAAAAATATCCTGAAATGCAAAAGAGCTCTTTTCAGCATTTGATATCAAGGCATTTGCACATTTGTCAAGAGGTGACAGTAAGAGTGAACTTTGCAGCTTACTTTGCAGTTGGACTTGAAATCAAAGAGCTTTCCTTCTAGCCTGCTCACCTGTAAACCATAACATATGGTTTCTTAATAGCTTGCTTTTTTCCCTGGAAATAATTCTCTCATTTAGAAAGTACTAGTCAAAGTATTGTTTCCACACTTGAATAAAGAGAGCTGACAACTACAATAGAAACGGTAAAAATGATCCTCATAAAAATGTTCATCAAAATTCTCTGACATAGCAAAACATTCATTTGTAAAGTAACATCTAACACTGCAAGCCATTCACTCAAAGGAGACCTTGGGCACACGAATCCTTGCCAGCATTGCAAAGGGAATCACTTCTGTATTTCTTGTGTAGGGTACAAACTCTGTAATATATTAAAGTTTCCTAACAAAAAGTCCAATTATTGCACTTTATAAAAATTCTAGTAATATCAGGCTTTTTTCCTACTTTTCTATGAACATTGATGCCTAGTAAGAAAAATGTGGGGGACCAAGTAATTTGTGATGAGTAAGATGGAATACTTGAATCAGTCCAAAATATGGGGGATCAAACCAGAAGGGTTTACGAAATGAAGAGATGTAACCTTTGGAAACAGGTTTTGGTTCACAGCAGCAGACAGATGTGTCATTCTGGTACTGACACATGTTCTCTTTGCCAGGAAGAGAGGGCACATGAATGTTACATTTATATATCACAACACAACTTGAGGACTTTGCAGAGAAACCCAAAGAACAGCTAAATCCTTCTGCAGACCCTACAAGCCTGATGGGAAAAGCTCAGTGACAGCCATGGTGGAGTGGGGGTTTCTCTGTGAGCTCGAATATATCTGCATTTGTGCCAGCAACAGACACAGCAAACAGGAATAGCTATTTCAGGATGGCAGAACAGGTAGAGTAAGTCTGAGAGGCCTGTAAAAAAGGAACATACAGCAGTTTTGGCCCTGCTTTTAACCAGCTGTATCAATAGGGGGAAAAAAGATAGAGGAGATTTTTGTGCCAGCTATCTAGAAAAAGATGCTGCTTGAACCAAATTGATTCACAACTCTATATGAGGCTTCCAGGCCAGCAAATCACTGTTAAAGTCACTTTGTTCCTCTGCTCCTTCAGCATGGGAACGAGTGCAGAATGACTCATTCCAACCGTGGATAGTCCGTTTACAGCAACAATCATATCACCACACCTAAAAAACACAAGAAGAAAGAAGAACACATTATGAGACCTGCTCTGCAGTAATTAGCACACACCAACAAACAGCACTGCACTGCTGGGGTGGTAGGAGGTAGGTACTTTGCTCCTTTGCATCAGGCTGGAAAGTGTCACTAAAGTTCCCAAAGCAGTTCAATTTGAAGTCTGTCCTACTACTGAATGATGCCCCTGCCCATTCCAGGAGTGTTGCACAAGATAACTTTTTAAAGGTCCCTTCCAACCTCCAATTGTTCTAGGATTAATCTGAAACTCATCTGGGAAATTCCCAAATCACGCTATTTCCATTCTAATACCAATATGCTTCTGCATTAAGAACTGACCTGTATAGAAACATGAGAAGAGACATTTGGGAAGACCTAATGGAGTCAAGAGAAATGAGATACCATGTGCATGACAGAAGCACTTCTGTTTGTTTGTGTGGATTATAACACATTTACACCAAACATGCCTTTACTGTAGGAGGTGTAAGTAAAGATATTATGGTTACCAACCAACCACATTCCAACTAAGAACCTTGTTTTCAGTGGCTTATGATTTTATCAAATATAACCATTTGGCTTGAAATGTCCCTCAGCAGATGGTTCAATTGCAGCATCTCTGCATTTTGGATTGGGTAACAGAATTTGTGAGGGTGCCATTTGCTGGCCCAGAGAAAAATGACCTCAAAGGGTTAAGTTCTGGTTTTTAAAACCTCAAGAGAAACTTCAAAAATCCACCTAGTTTCTTTCTGTTTCGAGCATGTTCCTTCTCTAGACACCTCTGCTTTGCAACTTGAGTGTGTGACATTCCCCAAAGTAGTCAAACGTGACTTGGAGATCAAACAGGATTTTTCCTGAAACTGATCCTCTCAGGTATTGAAGGCACCAATATGGGTGGCAAAAAGAAGCTCTCCTGAGCTTTCCCTAGGGCAGAGCACAGGAAGAGGGAGCAGAGTTACCAATACCAGTCAAATGTGCACTCAAAAGTCCTTCTCTCCTGAACCAAGGAACCCCATCACCCAAACCCAAAGTTCTACAGTTCACTGCGTGACATCTCACTCCCACAGCCTTTCCAAGGAAGCCATTTTGCCTTCTATAAAATCACACCAGGCAGATCATGTAAGCAGAAAACTGTCTAAACTATTGAACTGTGAAGTTATTTATTCCCTTCCTCTCCAGCCTAACATTTAGATAATTTAAACAAAACGGACCAGCTTTAGAAGAGACCTGTCCCACAATAACTCCAGGTGTGGGTTTGAAGAGGCTCTCCCTTGTAGATGGCCCATTTTTAAGTCCGTATTTTCAGTAGAACAGACATTTGAAAAGAGAGCACTACGTCACATTATCACACAAGAGCATATTTTCCATAGGTTACAAGGGGGTAAATGTGACCATAATGATTCTTCCACTCTTCTTAGGAATGATGCTTGAACTTCCACTTGTGTAAAGACTTCTAGTTATTAAGTCTCTAATCTGAAATTATTTAATTTGACTTGAACTGAGATCTTTAATTTAATCCAAACTGTTCCACAGTTAAAAAAAAAACTAATTTTATGTTCAGCCAAGTTATTTTTTCATTTATTTATTTAGTCACTGAACTGAAAAATCAATTACTGTCAAGGCTCTAGGCATAAGTACATTCTTTTCTTAAGACACTTTGTAAGAAAATCTGCATGTAAAAATCATGCCATGAAATTTCAAGTTGTATATTCTTGACTACCACCTTCACAAAAAATCAAGTTTATGAACAAGAGAACAACCCTTAATGGGAATTTTACGTCCTAGTTCTGAACTAATCCTACATGAGGCTAAGATGTATATCTGGATACTAAACCTGGGAGCTGCATCCAAATGTAATGTGTAAGCAAAATCATACAATCTTTAAGGTCAGAAGGGACCTCAGGAGCTCTACAGGCCAAACTTCTACTGCAAGCAAGGTCAGCTGTAAGCTGTGACCAGGACTCCCAGGGCTTTACCCAGTAGTCACAGAAACCTCCAAGAGCAGAGACCATGCAACTTATGCCATTGCCTGACCATCCTCATGGGGAAATAGTTTCTTCTCATGACCAACCTCAAGCTCTTTAGTTCAAGTTGTGCCTGTTGTCACTCGTCCTCTCACCCTGCACCACTGGGCCCTGTCTCCTTGACAATGTGCAGGTAAGTACTGGAAAGGGATGCTGGCTGCCCCTGAAGCCTTCTCCTTGTGGGGCAAGCGCTCCAGCTCCACCACCTCAGGGGCTTCTGCTGAACTCGCTTCATTTATCAGTGACTTTCCTGACAGCTAATGACAGGGTAATGCAATGGGGACTTGGGTCCTTAACAATCTTTTCAGAAGTCTTTATCATGTACTTTCTTGCCCTTCTATTAATGCAGCAGCACCCATCTTCAGTATCAGTCTCCAGTGGCTTCAGAAGGCTATGTGAAAGCATAAAGCAGTTTTGCCCACTTTGCAGAAGTGAAGCTCTAACTTTAGCTGTTTTATAGGAAGAAAAAAACCAGCTAGTTCTGCACATTTACAGTGCACATTCTCTTGGCCTAATGTGGAATTCAACAGGGAGACAGCAGGTGACATCAGCCGCACAACTGAGGAAAATCACAGGAGGTGCCATCTCCTCTGAGATGCCCCTTCCCTAACAGAGACACCCTGTTACCTCCCTGCATCCCACTCATCAGGGAGGGAAATGCACTACAGAGCTGCATGGTCCAGCAGCCCAAGATGCATTTCCTTAAGCAATCAGTTGCACACAACTATTTAAAAGTGGTTCCTTATTGTTGCTTTTATTACTATTTTTATTATTTCTCCCATTGCTACTTTGGCTTACTTTAATCTCCCGTCGAAGTAGGCAGGAGTTCCCAGAACAATGGTTTTAATGAAGAAGGGCTGGTTGGTGTGGTTCTCCTCGTAGCCCCCGACGATGCTGAAGCCCCAGCTGCCCAGGTTGCTCCGCCGTAGCACCACGTCATGGCAGCTGTGCAGGCAGCTGTGGAATGGAAGCACAGGACAAGAGAAAAAGCCATGTATGGTTCCACAGCAGGCACAACATCTGCTATCTCACCATTACCACTGAGCTGAGTGTGGCAGAGAAGGGGAGGGAGGTGATTAGACCTCTGCTCCCAAAGTAATTTTGTAATATTCAAACCAATTACCAAAAAATCCCACAATCTTGAGGCAGAAAAGTGCTTTAGAAGAAGTAATGCAGTGTTAGAATAATTACTCAAACACAGTTAACTCTTCAAACTGACAGTAACAGAACTGCATTTTATGGATTCCACAGGTGGCAACAATGTGGGCGGAAAATCAATACCTGATGTGTTCAGTCTGCAAGTCAAAAATGCAGAGCATTTGTCTTCCACCCCTAGCCAATTTAAGCTTTTACTACTTTAAGTAAAAATTAAAAACCCATGCACAATCTTCATTACCTCTGTACTGATTCATCACCAGTAATGAAAATATAAATGACTAACCATTTTATTACACAGAATGTAAATAATTCAGATCACACTTCACTAACTATATGTTATCAGTCCTAGTGAAAATTAATTCTTGCCAGTAAAGTTGGCAATGACTGTAACTTAAAAAATAAACAGACATAGAAATTAACTTTTCAGTAAGAAGATACCAAGTTCTTTACGGTTGTTTGGCACTGCTTTAAAGTACAATGCATAGCATAATGTTAGGGGCATACAAGGCATCTGTAGCATAAAACAAACAAACCACTAGGTAGGAAATAAACTGCTTCTAAAGCATGAAAAGGAAGTGTATTTACCAAAACTGAGAGCCATTTATTGAGATTACTCATTAATACTTAATTAGAAGATAATTTAATTGACAGGTAAACTCAGAAAAAGTGAAACCTCTGGAGGGCCAATGCATGGCTCTGTTATCTTCAGCTGCATTCTGCTCTCAGTCTGGTTCGTGTTGTGATTTTACACTTGAAGTACAGATCTGGTAAATCCATCAGAGGGAAAGGAATTAACCTGCATGCCCTGACTAAAGTTAACAACTCTACTAGCTGCAGAAGGAATTCTTCTTGATAACAAGTGATGCCAGAATGAGATTACAGCTGCAGCCTCGAGAGAGTGAGGAGTACAAATGAAGTGATGTCCAGCAGATTGCAGAGTAGTTAAGGGGAGGGAGCTTGCTGCAAATCTCTAAGAGTTTTTGTGTTTGGCAGAGATGGTAGTGGACTCTTGAAAAAAAAACAAAACCACTGTGAGCCTATAGTTACACAGCTACAGTCTTGGCAGAGGACACGTCAAGAGTCTGTCAGAATGGCCAAAATCTGATGCAATATTCTGAAGTTAAGTATTTGGCCTCATGAACTTAGGTAGCAGATTAGCAAAGAGACAGATGGATATATACTTGGTGGTTTTATTAGTAATTTCTCTGATTTTGGATATTCTACAGAAAGTCACAGTACAATAAAACAATAAAAAAATATTAATTCTGTCTGAACAGAAGACTCCACATGGGTAGTTACTATGGTTTGTGAAGGGATAAAACCAGTATATTCATCTTCAAGTTTCCTAAGGAAACACTGCTTCTGTTCACAGCCCACTTTCTAAGCACACTGCCAACTGAATACAGCTGAGATGGCCAGGTAGAAATAAGGGCAGATGTGCTGCAACTATGCAGGTCTCTGCTTCTTTATGTCTCTTGCAGGACTTAGCTCGAAGCACCTAAATAAGTACTTAATCAATTAATTCTGTACCTTGGAAGTCCCAGCCACATGACCCAGGATGGTGACCAGCTGGCATCGTATTCATTTTCACTGATGGTACTCAATTGTTCCTCATCAGCCTGGGGCTGTTCCTCCACAATCTGGACTTCCAGGGCTTTCAGGGCAACTACTGAAGAGGCAGCACTAGCCTTCAGCATGGCCACGGCCTCGCTGTGACTCAGGTTGGTGAGATCAATCCCGTTGATGTTCAGCAGCACATCACCTGTGCAAAGGCGCGAGGGAGAGCACATCAGTCTGACAGTCCTGCCCACCCACACACCTCCCAGGCCAGGGTCTCATTCCATACTACAGTCTTTGGACCTGAGACAGTCTGAACTAACAGACTAGGAGCTCTGAAGCCTTTATATTGTCAGTTTGAAACTTTAATGTATTGAGCTTGTATCAATTATTGAGTATAATTTATTTCCACATACACACCACATACTGTGACTCCTATGTATAATGCCCTGAAAATCTGAAATAGAAATTACTTAAGTACCTCATCAGCTTGGCTGCAACTGCTACTGCAGATGCCATGACTCAACTGTTTCCAGATGAGGATCTTGGGCTCACCCTAACTTTAAAAGTGAAGGAAGAATGACGGCAGGAACAATGCAGACACCTCAAAGTAACCAATTATTGGAGACAGGTGAGGTTCCACAGACTGCTTTAATTCATCTGGTTTTAATAACTTGTCACTTGGGAGAAGAAAATTGAATTCAAAAACTACTGGAAAGTTTGCTATAAAACTCAGTTAATTCAAAGAAAGAAAAGTAGCATCTCTACAAAGCTAATCTGGAAAATATCAAAGCCAGAAAAAGATTTCCACAATTTCAGTTTTATGTTTTTTAAAAAGCCCCAGGATGTAAACAAGAACGTTATTAACTATCCAGTGGCAGACTCCTTTTTCACACAACGTCTCACCAATGAAAGCCACAAAAAACAGAGCAAAAGTGCAAACACCTGGGTCACATTTGGTATGAGACTCAGGTTTTTGAAAGGCTTTTCCTCCCAGTAGCTTTTGCGGCCGCTTTAACATTACACAATGAAAGAACAATAGTGATTGTTCTATCAAGTGTGTTTGTCATAGTAGTACAGAAAAAGAAAGCATACCTGCTGGTGTGTGGGTGTAAATCTCCCTTTCTCAGAAACATAGAAAGATGCTCCCACACTGTTCTTTTAAATGTACAATCTGTGAAGTTTTTCCCTAAATTTCTTTCCTGAAACATTCTGTAATTCTGTGAACTGTGAATCACAGAGATCCCAAAGGCAGTCTCTGATTCACATATGACATAATACATTTTAATCATCAAATGCTTTGCTATCCATTATGCAGGACTGCCTTCATCTATGCTGAGCCTAACCTCTGCCTCCTTATTCTCTTTTACAAAGCCAGGGAACAAGGACAGGTGTTGCAGCACCCCCAAAGACCAGCAGACTCATGATGTCCCAGAGGATAAGAAAGCTTTTGAGAACCAGGATTAACACTGATGAAGCTTCTTTTGGGGCAAATTTTGTGTGGGTGAGCTGTAGCCTGTCAGCAGAGCTTCTCTGCTGTTCAGGTATTACACCAGGGAGCAGAGATTCCTTGGACAGAGATGTGGTACAACCCACTAAATCACACATGAAAACAGGATGTGTCTGCATCACAGCAGACCCTCAGTTCAGGGGAATACCATCAGCTTTAAAGAATTTAACCATACATTTCCTGATCTTATCCACTTCCCCTGCTATCATGCTGTAAACATCCCCTTCCCATAAAAGGTGAAAGTGCAACATGAAATACTGTATTTCCATTATTAAATCATGAAGAAAAGCATCCGTAAGCATTTTCCTACATCCATGACAAGATTTTTGACACCACCTGATTCCAGAGAACACAGTGATCAAAAAGCAACCAGAGGCAGCCCTGCCACCAGGGAAGGCAAACCCCACCTCGTTTAATCCTGCCGTCTCTCGCCAAGCATCCGTGAGGCTGCACACTTGTCACAAAGATGGGCAGTTCGCCACTTTTGCTGCCTCTGCCTCCTGCCACTGTCATTCCCAGAGATTCATGTGGCTCTTTTTTCACAGTAATGTGCTTTTCTTGGCATGTAACACACTGGGAGAGATCCTGTTCAATAAGGATAAATAACATTGTTAAAACTAAGGAAGAAAAACCAAGCAAACAAAAACTGAAAACCAGAACAAATCAACTAAATAACAACACACCAAAGCCACACTTTGGCATGTTAATAGAACAGTTTAAAATGACAAAGTACCTGAAACCAGCTTTGGCTGGATTTCTTCTGGGTCAAATCCCTGATTCCTCAAAAAAAGACCCCAATTCAACAACAAAAACCCCCTGGATGTAGATACTTAAACACAGATAGAAAGCTTATAAAGGCCTATCTTGAAATCCCACTCTAGTTTTTCTTTATATCCTACACTGGAAGAGGCTAAATTTTAGGACTGCACTACAAAACCATATGGCCAAAAGTCTGGAGACAAACCAGATAAACATCTTTTAAAGTCTTGGTGAACATCAGCATTACTTCATTTGTCAGTAGAATATGCCCCAGAACTACAAAGAAGCTCTTAAGAAATGAAAACATGTGTTTTCATGATGACAGTAAGAGACTCTTTAAAGCCCTTATGCATCATGTTCTCTTTTGCAGCTGGTATGTAGAACCCCCCAGAGCACAAACTAAGGCCAATTGATACTAATGGCTTGTAACGGGCACCTTGGGCAGCCTCCCTAATGATTATAATGAAGACTCAAGCTTGAAACAAGAAGAGATCCTATATTAAATTTTCCAACAACTGAATGATGAAGTTCAGCCTGTATTCAGCTCTGATCAGTAAAAAAAGATCTAAATCTAAATCAAAGTAAATTTTATTTGCCAAAGCCTTTCCCTCAGGTTATTAAGTAAAAGATTCAAACTACTGCACATACACCTGTAGTAGCATCTTAAATTGACAGAATACTTGCAAGGAATCCAAAATAATGAAAGAAATAACCTGGGATATTCTTCAAAATGCATATATGTATATACTCTCCTGCCTTCTCTCGGAAAATGACAACATTGTCCTCTTTGACCTCCAGTGCCATGTGCTCCTAACTGGCTCTGCTCCTCACATACACATTAATCATGGAAGTAGCTATATGTAAACACATCACAGCTTATAAAGACAGTTCATTTCTCTGGCTTCAGGACTGGCTGCTGCCACACAATCATACAAACATATTTAAAGCCACAAGGCTTCAAAGCCAACTGCAGGTTAATGAGAGAAAGATAAATGATACAAAATACCAGAAACATTCACTTGCTGTTACATGGGACTTCCAGTTTTAAAAGAGCCCACAAATGGCATTGATCTGTGAGGGAAATCCACTCATGCAACTTTGGATCAACTGTGGTAAGAGCAGAGCTCATGCTGGCACATGCACACTTGCCTCAAGCTCTGACATCAACAAACTAATCACTGTGTGAGTATGGCCCAGTGCTGTAGCCATGGTATTCAGGAGCCTCATCTTTATCCCTCAGGAGGAAAACAACCTTCCTGGAACCTCATTTGTTCTCTTCTGAAATGATCCCCACTTTTAAAAGAAAATCCTATCAATGCATGCTAGTCATCCCAACAGAAGTATATGATGCTACATAGTAAAGCAAATACAGTGGATAGGTGGAAAGGTGGATTTGTTGGCATGGTCAATATCACCATTATTTCACAAAGTCAACTTCTTAAGAGTGAGAAGTTGCATTTTTCTAATTACAAGGACATCTCGAGCACAGGCTCTATTTTAGCATGTCTTCCAAATAGTACTAGCTTCATGAAAGTCTCTTCATTTTGCCTTTCTCTCCCTGCTTGAGACTCAGCAGCCTTGCAGCCAGGACTGGTGACTCATGAAGGAGATGACACATCCCTCCAACATGCTCTTTATAAGCTGGATGGTGGGCACCTCACATCTTTCCTGGCTGCAGCCAGCACAGAGCAACAAAAAGTACAACAGTATTAAATGACAGCCCTTCCCATGCAGGAGTACCAGCCACTGGCTTAGACAAGGTCTAACAACTGCAGCTGTATGAACTCGCAGAACTTGCTTCTTCCACTGTAGTCAGCAAATCCAAACACATACTGAAAACCTGTTGTGCATCTTTTGTTCCTACACCACACATGATGCAGGACTTGAGAACTTGGAAGCTAACATCATTTTTTTATTAATACGATAAAAAATAATATAACCCTTTTTTCTAGCTTTGCCTTGCTACCCACACCAGCACATGAGTAAACCAGTATTTTTTCCTTTCAGAAGGAGAAGAACCAACCTTATGTGAGTTAGGTCTGCTGTGAAACAGCTGCTGGGACTGGTGTTGGTGTGAGCTGCTGTTGTGAGTCCCGGTGTCTCGGATAATGCTGACTGTCTGTGACTTCAGGGGTCTAGAGATGATCAAGTTCACTCTCTCCCCGCTTGCCTGTTGAATACATTAGGTCATCAAATGTCATCAAGTTTGAGAGGATACTGATTATTAGAAAGGGAGGAAAACATATGACAGAATGGGAAACAAGACAACAGCAGACCTTGTTTTCCAGTTCCTTTTTAGACTGCAGACTACTTTACTTGCCTGATATTGCAATACCCCCCAAAATGGAGGGGAAATTAACATTCCTCCTTCACCTCTGATGTTGTCTTTACATCAGCTAAAAATCCTTTGTCAAAAGGACCATTTCTCACTCTGTGTTACAAAGCTCCAAACATTAAAATTCACCCCATACCATTTGCAGCCTCTGAGAACTCCAGTAACACATAGCAATAAATGGATGAAATGCCTATGTGATAGCTCCAAGATCTGCAGCTTTCGATCAAAAGCTCTGAACACCTCTGGTACTTCCCCCAGACAACTGCAAGAAAGATGTTATCCATGAGCATAACCATAGTATTCTGGATTTTGGGGAATACTGGGAGACCCATTTATTAGATGTTAATAAAACATCAGCTCTTTTTATTGCTGCAAAGCCACACCTCAAAAGGTAAAAGTTACCTAGTGCTAAATTCCAATCACTGTATACAAAAGTTGGGGAACTGAAAATACAATTTCCAAGATCATTGTTATTTTAATTTCACTGCAAGGAAAACACTTGAAATTATTCCTGAAACAAGTATTGACTACTCCTTTGTATCAGAGTTGCCTCTGTGGTGCTTTAAGCAAAGGTGACTGCACTAGACTGCAGGAACATACTACTGGTATATTCCAACTTTCCTAAAAACAAAGGTATTTTCACCAACCTCCCATCAGCAGGAAACAGCAAAGTGCTGCATCTGTTTCCTTACAGACTGGGAGAAAGGCATGGAGTAAAGGTTTTCCTGTGGTGACACAGATAGGTCATATGCCACACTACAACAAGCTTTGGGTAGTATTTGTGTCCAGGACATAACCAGACATTGGAAACAGCCCTTTTCTGAACACTCAGAAAATGATATGTACCATGCAGAACTCATGGAAAACCTCTATTTGACTTCCCAGCTGCTACCTGTTGACTCTAACATCTGACAAATTACTTTCTTGTTTTAACTCAATTCCATGCACAGGAAAATCAATAAAAGACAAAGCCCACTTCTATAGAGCTTACTGAGAGATTAAAATACAATACATACATAAATAGAATAATAATAATCCTCTTTTTTTTTCTTCTCCCCTGCTAAGCAGTATGCTACAATAGGCTATTCTCCTTGCTACACAAGCCGTCTTCTAACCTTCAGGCTGCATTCCAGGGAAGACTAATGCATTTTTCACTTCTGAGGAGGTGAAGTTCATCTGGTAGGTGCCAAAGCAGGTGCTGTTCTTCACTCTTATTTTCAAAACATAAATCACCGAAAATTACACTGACACAGGCTTTTAGGCCTCTCACAAGCTGTTCTGCCTGAGAACAGACTCTAGAAATAAAGCCAAGCTAGGGGCTCAGGCGGGGAAAGCGAATTACCTGTATGACCTGAGCAGCGAGCTCCGGCGTGCCGTGCTTCAGGTCGTGCCCGTTAATGGCCAGCACGCGGTCGTTGCTGCAGAGCCGGCCGTCCTGGGCGGCCAAGCCCCCCTCCAGGAGGTCGAGGATGAACACCCCCGGCTCGTCCGTCCTGCGCACCAGCTTGATGCCGAGCTGCTCGCTGGAGTCGCGCTTGTGCAGGGTCACCTGGAAGCTGTCCTCGCGCGCGCAGCCCGGCGCGTCGGCGTGGCCGTGCGCGCGGCTGCCGAAGCGCCGCTCCCGCAGCACCGTCAGCTGCAGCACCGAGCACGGCTGCGACAGCACGGCCCGCGCGTGGTTGTGGGACACGTTGCTGATGTCGAAGCTGTTCACCTGCCAACGACAGCAAAAGAAGTCACAAGGATGTTTTCGCATGTTTAGTTAAGTCCTTTCCAAAGTAAATTCGCTCGCTGCAAAACCAGCCTTGGAGCAACCTACATGTCTGACTTTACTAGGCTTCCTCTCTTATCTTCCATTCTTTCCTGCAAACTCGCATTGGATGTTCAATCGACAAACTTCTTTTTAGGTTGGAAAAGATCCTCAACATCTTCAAGCCCAAGTGTTAATCCAGCACTGCCAACTCCACCACTAAACCACGTCTCCAAGTTCTACATCCACATGCCTTTTAAACATCTCCAGGGATGGTGACTCCACCACTTCCCTGGACAGCCTGCTCCAGTGCTTAACAACACTTTTGTGAAGAGATTTTTCCTAATACCCAATCTAAGGTTCCCCTAGCAGTATTTTAGGCATTCTCCCCAGTAGTGAATGCCCTCTGCCATCACAGGCCAAGGTTTTTGCTCTCCTTGTCTTCTACACTTGTCTCCTACACTTGTCTTCTTTACATTGTTTGTTTTCCCAGACAAGAACATGGCATGTGCTTTCAATTTCAAGCCCAGCATCACTTAAAACTGCAAAATAATAGCTATAAAAAGAATGGATCTAAATCTCTGCAGGAAGCCTTACATTTTGTAAGCCTTGAAGCCTTACATATTGTGTCTTACAATATGCATTACTTCCATGATGTGAAAAAACATTTTTAAAAAACTGAAGTCAAGAATAATGAATTTGGTTCATTAACACAGCAAAAAAATGTAGCTGGACTAATTCTCAAGTCTTAGCATGAACTTAGATTTTCCACAGATTTCAAGTAGGCCAGAGCTTCGGACTTATAACCTGTATCACCCAAAATTCAGTTGTAAATGAAAAACAGATTAAACTTTCTCTACCTAAAATAAAGAACTGTGTTTGTTATACAGCCCACTCATACAGAGATCAGTAATCTTCAGTCATTTCTTGCACTGTAAAAATAAGAACTGACAGTGCAATGGGATTAGGTAGATAAAAGGAGTATGACAAAAATTCAGCACGAAAGCTGTGTTTGTCTTCTTTTGTAAGAAAGGATTCAAAGTTAACATTAGAATTTCATCCTTAGCCTTGGTGGAGGAACCCCTGCCCCAGACAGAGGTATCACCAAACGGTCTATACTGATTGATGTGCCTTACCTAAGCCTTTTAATAGTCCCCATTGCAACCTAAGTAAGTAAAACCAAGCACGCACCTTCTCACCATCTAACAGTAATATTAAAATTATAAAAATATACAAAGCAATCTATGTACAGCAGCTGCCACATTTACATCACACACCTGAGCTGAGGGGCTCCCAGAAGCCTGTGCTGAGCCACTTGGCTGTGGTAGTTTCTGAGGGTGAAGGAGGACTGCACCCTCCCTGAGACACCTCCAGCCCAAAACCCAGCACAAAGCCACTGCTGCTGGCAGCACCACGAGCTCAGACAGAACCACAGTGGTGTCCTGCTCTGCTACTGCCCTGAGAGAGCCTGTAACCTTGGGCAGAGGGAAAAGAAGCATAACTAGAAGAAATAACACTTAGAGCTGCCTCCTGCAAAAACCACTAGGGCTCATCCATCAGAGCCCTTAAATTAAATCTATTTTTATTTTTAACTGTAGCTAGCTAAAGTAAATACATAAAATATGTGAGCACTCAAAGGGCACAGAAGAATATATGCAATAAAATGTAATTCTTCTTTCTATAAGGCAGTTTAAAATTTCAGAACAAAACAGCCTTGGCACTTCTTGGGGAAAGAGATTCTCATTAGGACATGCTTCATATGAATTACAGTCACAGTCCAACACAAAAAAAGACAATTTGTAGAGCACTTTGAAATTGTTAGGCACCTATCTGCACCTTGCAGACAACACAAGCTTTTATGTAGCTGTTACTAAATGCTGTTCCCACAGCTCTTAAAAGGGTAATACTTCTTGTTTGACTAGGCAAGAAAATGCTGAGTTTCATCTCACAGCCCTTTCTGGCTCTTTCTTTTAGACCTTTACAGCTCATAAAAGCCCTGGAAAACATTTTCAGAAATATCCCACCAAAGTGTACATGCTGAGCTGCACCTAAGTGCACCTAATTACAGATGGCAGAGATTGGACCTGATCATTTTAATACAACAGCTCAGCACCTGCACAGGCAAATTCAAATAGAGATATTCTATCTCCCCTCAAAATTTAGGTTTTACCCTCTATATCTCTCCCTTGGCATGAGAGGAGGACTCTCATGGACACCCACTTAGCATCTGACAGCCCCACTGCCAGGCTGTTGATAGGGGAAGACTCACTGCAGCTAGTAAATTCCTATTTACAGTCAATTCACTGCCATTTATGGCTTTGGAAACTGTAACTGACACCTGCCCAAACAGCAGGAATTTCCAAAGCTTCATTGGAACTCAAGCTCCCTATTCTGCCAAACAAGTAGAGCCCTCAGTATAAAAATAAATGAGGCAGCATTCAATCAGTGTCTGCAATTACTTGTTGAAAAGGAAACATCTTGGAAAGCTCTTGGGTTGTTTTCTTGGCCAGCCACTATGCTTACACTCCAAGAGCTGAAAAAGGCACATTTCTCAAAAGGGACTTTATTTTCTGAAGTGCAAACTAATTTTATTCCAAGGGTAACTACTGTATTTAAGCTACTTCTATCAGCTTGATTTCAAAACAGTGAAATGAAGAAGGCTTACAATTACATTTGGGCTGATCTTAGGCTGCCAGATCAAAAGCAAACATTTCTACTGAAGTAACTTTGAATTAATGATAATATATTTGTTTCAGGTGGAAGGATTAAAAATAGAAGCTGGGTGACCGTTCTGTTTATGTAGCACTCCGTTACTTTAGTGTTGTATGAACAACCCCTTCCCCTAATATAAAAACTAAAACTTCAAAATTAATAGAACTTGATTTTTTTCTATTGTCAGTGGTTAATTACTTGAAACCAAAACAAAAATACACAATCAAAACCAACTTACATTTTGTTCATTTTTTTCTTTAAATGCTTAGAGCATCTTGCTTTAAATCCTTCCATTAAAGTCTAACACTGAGTCTTTTATACATAGTGAAAGATGTTGGTCAACTGCCTCAGCTTTTGGAAGACAACGTTAAAATAACAGTTTAGACGAAGGCAGCCTTACAATCCACAAATTGCTTCTTACACAGGACAAGTTATGCCAACTTGCTAGCCAGAAATAACCTTGGGCTCCTTTGGAATGCATGAGTAAAGCTGAAATAAGGACCAAGTCCCACAACATTTAAAAACAGAAAAATAAACTTGTATTTTAAATGTTGACAACAGATGCCAGAGAGGAAAGATAATTCCAGGGACTGGTCCGACAAACAACATAAAGCATGACAGCCAAAAGTGCTAGAACAACACGCTCTGCTCTGAATATTAATTTGCTTTCCAACTGATAATTGCAAAGCTAACACTGACATAACATAGTCTGACAAGGAAAATCTTCCATCTCATTTTAACAACAATTCTGCAAGGAGCAAACAGAAAGCAAGCAGACAGAATACGTAATTAGGTTCCATACTTGAAGTATTTGGTCTCCAGCAAGAAGTCTTCCATCTCTGGCAATGATCCCATCTCGATAAACCTCTTGAATGACAATGTTGATCAAAGGTGTTTCATTGCCACCCACTATGCTAATTCCTAATTCAATATAAGGATTGGACCGATGAATTTCAATAGTAGTGATCTCTCCTTCAGGCAAGGTAGGTGGCTGTTGATTTGCTGCCAATTATTTTTAAAAAGACAGACAATTAATATCTTTTCTATTTCATTCACTTCCAATAAAATAAATCATCAAAATATAATGTAGACCGGCCACAAAGCAGCAGTTTAACAAAAAAACTAAACCAGTGCAAATGGATCAGTTCCACTACTTGTTGAAACCCCTAGCTTGTTAGAAAGCAGCTAGTGACTTAGTAGAATCCATGCTTCCTGAAATAGGATCATTTGGATTGGAATAGGATATTCTCAACCCTTTGGATCCCATCCTTTATAATCAACTTCATGTCCTTCATTGGGTCACTTGGGGATTTGCCTTTGGTGATGATGATAAAAATGCATCACTATAGAACACGAAAGAACACAAGCGCACACCTCTGCTCTCGAGGTGAAGAAAAAAAGGAAGTTTATTTTCTGACTCCAGCATTTATAGTTTTCAAAAACTGATAGTGGATTGGAGGGTGACAGTGCCACCTCCCATCAAATTTCTCCTCCTCCATAAAAGAATGCAAAACAGTGAGTTACTTACAGAAAGTGTGTGAGAAAGTTTGTTACAAGAATGTCAACATCAGAAGGCTTAGAAAATCTTAAAAAAATGGGAGCGACAATAAAAATATATTTTAAGGGTTAGCCCATAACCTCTTTGCCTTGCAATTGCATGAGGAGCTGCTATTGAGTTACTGGGTGAACTGAAGGAGCCCATTTCTGAAGAAAACATGGAGACAACTAAAGAGGAAAAAGGAGAATGCTAAAGGATGGCAAATATAGAGGAGAAGAAAGGGGACAGGACCACCTTTCTCTGTGGTAAGGCTGAGCACTTCCTCTATAAAATCCCAGATGCTAAAGGTGTTACAGCTCATTCAGTGCAGACAAATGCAGGAGTAACTCAGCTGCCTTTTTCTCAAGCATGACAGCACTCTGTGTGTGAGAAGGCTACTGATCCAGCTGGGGGGAAAACCAAATCTCATCTTAGAAAACAACTTTTGTAATTTTACAGAAACTACACTCCTTCCACCTCACTTGTGAGGCCAGTCCCACTAGCAGATTAACATGAACTACTGCACCCTGACACAATAAATGATGATACAGCACCACAGTAGCTGGCACACACTCGGAGATATTTCTTTCCTTCCTGTGCCTTTATCCCAGTTGTAAACTTGCACATAATCAAAATACACTAATATGTCTCCAGAAATTGCAAAAGAAAAGAGCCAAATATGAAGATGCACATTCAAGCTCTGACACCACAAATGTTTCCACCTCTGATAAAAGAGACTTGGGAGGATAAGTGATGACATACTGTCTGCTGCTGTGTTCTCCTCAAAAGGTGGATTGTCGATGCCGGGCTCGTCTGTCCAGGCGGGCAGGGCGGGCGAGGTAAAGCTTGGCTCGGCTGGCACTATTCCCTGATCAGCGTCCGGAGACAAACTGCTGGGCTGCTCCTGCCCACCCACACCACTCTCACCCTCTGCTTCTGCTTGCACCTTGCTCGTTTTCCTTCTCTCCAGAGCAAGCCTCCGATGAGAAGCCCCAGGACACCTGTAGAGACAACACTGATATTATGCTTCAAGCCTGCAGCCCTGTTTGTAGCACAAAATACCCAAGTATTTTCTTGGGTTAAATCAGTCTTCTTCAAAGCCATAGCTTTAAACTCAGCATTAAAAAAATATTAAACACACTGAATATTAAGGCCAAAATATGTTTTAGTGGACAAAACCCAAATACTGCTTTCTTCACAAAACTTCTACTAGGTAGTTTTTTGGCCACGAACTCAATGTGCTGTAACACCTTCTGAATGTGGACTTATCTTGTTCTCACAGAATGGTTTGTGTTGGAACGGGCCTTAAAGATCATTCAGTTCCAAGCCCTCTGCCATGGACAGGGACAACTTCCACTAGAAGGTGGATTCTGTACATTTTAGTTTCTGGAAAATAACTTGCTGGAAAGATGGTCAAAAAAAATCTACATAAGAAGCCCTGTTCCAAGACATAACTGGAGACCTACTGAAACCATCTTCTTTCCCCTTAGTAAGCCAAAAGAAGTAAGCATCATATTTTCCTGGGCTTATTCAAAGGAGGAAAGAGATGAAAATTTTCCCTAAATTGCAATCTAAGTGTTATAATACCGAAATAAAATTCTGCTTCTCTAGGAGTCTGTATGAGAGGTTTAGCAAAAGTAACAGCTCTGTTCATCACTTGTCTCTTGGGCCAATAGAAGGTGTTCTCATCTCCATCCTGTCTCCTGTTTTTTCTTTCTGACTTCTGACATAGGAGGTGCAATTTTTGTTTCCTTTATGCAACAGTATTTGATGCTTTTCACTACAAACTCAGTTTTTAAAGTTTCCATTACTCTTAATGCAGTATTTTTTTTGCTTATGTTTAAAAGCCTACAATAGTTCATTGCAAAAAAAGGGCCGCAATGTTGCTAATTCATGGAAAGCCTTCATTTATCAAATCATCTTGCATTTATGTGCACATAATTAGACGTGGACACCAATCTTACATCTGCCTCAGTGACAGTTTTGCCAGTGTCTGATAAATCACATCTTATAGAATTTGATGTCCTTAAAGTTCCCGCTTCTGAAGCCACTGACCACCCAAAAATGCTCATACTGTAGCAGTGCCAGAAAAAAAGGAACCACATTCTTGGAAGGATTCAGCATTTGGGAACTTCGCAGATTGTTATAACAAAAGAAGAAATTATTTATTCTTGCAAGAGAAGAAATGTGTTAACAGAATAAAAGACAGCAGAAGCCTAATGACATCCTAATTTATTAAAGCAGAATGTTTTGAGAATCACAATTCTGTTCTGACATTCTGTAAAAGTAATTTGGTAATTATATTGTTAGACTGCTTCAGCATGGATTTTTAAGTTTTCAGGTCCAAAGAACATTGATAAAGCTTTTGTGACCCCCAGCCATGTTATACATACATACATAACATTAGATATATATATCTATATATATATGAAAATATCTTTTTTTTTAATGATATACATAGAATGATAGAGTGGCTGTGGTTGGAAGGGATCTTAGAGATCATCTAATTTAAACCCCATGCCATGGGCAGGGAACACCTTCTACTAGACCAGGTTGCTCAGGGCCCCATCCTGCCTGGCCTTGAACACCTTTAGTGATGGGGCATCCACAGCTTTTCCAGGAAACTTCTTCCAGTGCCTCACCACCTTTATGGTACATAATTTCATCCTATTATTTAACCTAAATCTACCATTTTTCTGTTTAAAGCTATTTCCCTTTAGTCTATCACTACATGCCCTTACAAAAAATCCCTCTCCAGCTCTTATATCCCTTTTAGATACTGAAAGGTATCTAAAGGCTATAAGGCCCCCCCAGAGGAGTTCATGTGTTCTCCCCTTGTCTCATGTCCCCCTTTGCGTTCTCCATGTTTAGAAGAGTAGAAAAAGGTAACCCAAATATGCCCTGAAATATGCACAAAAACATACATTAGAGACAGTTCATATTATGACATGATGCATTTCAGAAATAATTCCTTGGGGCTTTTACCAAAGCAACTGCTGGTCATTTTCTTCTTCAAAGTTAAGAAAGTGTAAGCACCAAAGATGAAAATTTTTTGAAAGGTTTTGCTTTGTGAAAACGTTTCTCTTATTTTAAGGATGGAACGTAACCCTATTTCTTGGCTTTGCCCAGACAGTATTTACTACAGAAAACCACTGGTATAGTGGGACAGATCAGCCAATATATCTGTCTGGTGGTCAGAGACACACAATTACATGTGAAAATCAGCAGGAAATTTCTATCATTGATCATTTCACTATGCAAACCTCAAAACAATGGCCCCAAGAGATCAAGAAAAGGAAAGATGCTATCACTTCCCTCAGTATTTCTAATATACTTTAACTTGATGGGTTAGCTTCATGGTCCCTCAAATCTTAATGCTGGCAACAGGGAAAAAAAAGGAACAATCTCCAACATCACTCACTTCTGCAGCAACACAGCAAGAGGTAACTGCTCTTGCAGAGAAAACCTTTTGTCTGCTGGGAGCTCTGACAGACATGCTCTCCCACAGTGATTCTCCAGAATTTAGGACAAAACCACCCCAAGCTGTGTGTCCTTGCTGTCCCTGAACTGCTGTGCTATAGAAGTGGTGATTTCTCAGCAAAGAGGTAAATGAACAGCTGAAAACCAACACTGTCACAGAACCATGCTTCAATCCCTCTGAGCCTGACAGCAGAGTCCAGCCTTACTGGACTACTTGTGTGAGCCAGACACTTCCTTAGGTATCTCCTACAAACCACTGCACTGCTGCTGACTCTGACTCAGCCATCTCACAAGGCCTGAGGAGCCCAAAGGACCTGCTCGAGGTGGCAAAGCACACCTTAAGAGTTTTGGGCTTTTTTAAGCTGTGTCAAACCAGGACAGCACAAAACTCATCCCTGGAAGTGTCCTATTTCTGTCAAAGCCTCCTAAACCACAGCCAGGTCCTCCTCCACCCTCCCTCACACTGCATATTCTCCCATCATTAACTGGCAGCTGATGAAAGTCATCACACAAAATACAAATAGATCTGAGGTTTATTTTGGACAATGATGTTTAATTATAATTTCAAAACCTAGTACCAAGAAATCTAAAACAGCAAACCTACTCAGTTCAGTGGAATCCCTTTTGTGCAGCACTGTATGAGGCAAAAAAGGGCAAAACCCCACAGATTTTCCCCCCCAATTAACCAGTAATTGTAATAGACTCTGAATTTCAGTCTAGTACAGTGCAACTGCATTGCCAGGGGAGTAGCAGTCTAGTGGAGACATTAATTCATTGGATGCCAGCTGCCTAGGTCTTTAAACGCAGCATGCCACCTACCAAGCAGCAAAGCCTTGCATTGGTACTCAAGCACATCTATATGGAGACTTTTTCTTTCCACTTGCAACATAAAAATATATTTGTTGGCAGTAAGAATATATTATTCACAAACAGCAAAACCATACAGCAGTTGTAACATATAAGTGCCAATAAATCTCCAGAGGTGCACACTTTCACTAACACCAAATATGTGGGATAAAGAGCATTTTGGACTAAACCTTGTAACACGTTATGGACAAAGATGGGCATCTCGTGATCGAAACAAGCTTTAAAGATAGGATTCCTTTACTCATAAAAACATCTCATAAAACAAATTGCATAAATAAGGGCTGAATTCAAACTTAGAGAAATGGTATTTCATACCTACCTATAAAGCCAGAACATCTTGTCTAGGAGCAAAAACAAATGGAGGACTATTTTAAGAATTTTTAGAAATTCTTTAATTTCTTTCATGAATCAAGGTGCTCAAGAGCAAGACTCAAACTCAAACTATTCTGTGATAGTACAACTAGCCAGCTGAAGCAACAGAGTGATGTTACTTAATGGGAAGATTGAAGGGCAGTTATTCTAGCGATGTGAAATCATCTTCTGCTTATATTCAGCTTCTTCCTCTACCCTCCTCAGTACCAGCTTCTGCTCAGTTCTGGACGGTGACAAAGTATAGCTTTTACCTTCAATTTTTCTTAATTCATATCAGAGAGAGAAGAAAAATGGATCTTTTTGTTTGGTGGGTTTTTGTTGTGTTTTTTTTTTTTACAGCCAAGTCTGCTGGATTTCTCATTTAAAAGCTGACTTCTTGGAACACTAGCAGCAATCCCTCTCTGCTGATAAAAGGAGCTTTCATACAAAATTAAGATGTAGTTTACAGGGTATTTCTGCAAAATAACAGTAGGAGCTGGAAAAACACATTTGCTCACTGACTACTGAAAAGAAAGAATTCATTGTAACCTATGCCATCAGCTTCTGCCCAGTCTAGAGGTTTGATAAAAGCAAACACACTAAATAACTTCAAACCAGCCGCACTAAATCATTTCCCAAGCAGGAGCTGTATTTAAGCAAAGAAGCAATCCAAGTGCCTTTGCTATTGCTCATAAAACTTTGCCAACAAAGTGACCTTAAGCAGTAATTCTGGTAAGATTTACAGCTGCAATTCGAAGTAAAACCCAGTGTGGCTTTGGAAAGTTAAGTGTCTGGGTCTTAGTTTCTCTTTTGACAGGAAAAAAAAAAAAAAGAAAGGAAAAAAATAAAGTGGGGAAAATGAGGCACCACGAGTTATCTAGGTTTGGGAATCAGAGTAAACGAAGCCAAAATAAGAGTGGTTTTGTTGCATAATTCTCTCTCCCAGCCAACAATGTGAGAAGCTTACAAGGAGTCAAGCGGCTTCAGAGCACAGAACAACCAGAGAGAGATTGTTTGCCTTTCCAGCAATGGCTAGAGTCCATATGGCATGTAAAGACTATGAATTTGTTGCCTATCCACTTATTCAAAAGAGGGTTAAATCCCATAGATCCCCTTCACTTCTGGTGCTCTGAAGTGCCAGGCAGGGACAGTGCCTGCAGCTAACATGGGAGAGGGTGGGAAGAACAGGGCTCACCAGCACTGTCACAAACGCCAAAATAACTGGGATTGCCACGATTTGGAATGATGAAGCTCTGGATATTTACAGCTCGCCTTCCCATGGATTTTGTTACTCTAAATCCATATATTAAGCATGGTGAGCGACACCCAGTGAATAGCTCAATTGTTTCTTCAATTCCAAAAAAATGCAATCCCATATAAAGGTCAAACTTAATTTGACATAAAATTATCTGCAATGTTATCCAGTTGGAAAAATGTCTTCATCCAAATTGGTAACTTAAGCTACCATAGGGAAATACTGGAGGCAACAGCTAAAGCCCACCTAGCAATTAAAAAGCAATTAATTAAAAAGCAATTAATTAAATTAATTAAAAATCAATTAATACAATACTCAACCCTCTCATTATAATACAACAGACTTCTTTCACTTCTGAATAACCCAGAAGAATTAACTCAATTAAAATCATACACAGAAAATCTCATTAACTTTTTGTCAGATTTTCTTCTCATAAATATACCTTTCATATTTAGAAATCACAGAAACATAGTATTAACTAGGTTGGAAGAAACTTTTGGGACCATAGAGTCTAATCCATGACAAAACATCACCATGTCAACTAGACCATGGCATTGAGTGCCACATCCAGTCTTTCCTTAAACAACTCCAGGGAATGAAACTGACACTTACTTTACCAAACACTAGCAAATTTTCTATACCAAGTGACTGAAAAACAGCACATGACTCATGTGGTTCTTCCCTTTAAATCATATTATATGCACTGTGTTTAACTTTAAAAACCAAATTTGCAAGGGAATGTAATGAAACTCAAGAGTTTGAGAAATCAAGAATATTTACTTTGTGCAATGAGGTATCATGGCATGTAATTAGTGACTTTGAAGCAATCAGGTTTGTGTCTGATGCCTCTCATCTCCTTGTGGGAGCATCTTACAGTAATTCTCCTTACACTCTGAGGCACCTGGTGGATACAACATTTTCTTCCAGCTTTTATGCTCAAATGAAGCTAATAAAAAACCACTGGAAAACCCTAGTGTGAAGGTTTTTAGACAGTGAAAATTAACCAACCATACTGCTTTCCTCAGAAACACAAACCATCTCATGTAAAGGCTTTTTATGACTGGTTTATATTAATCAAAGCTGACAATTAAAACAATACTGAATTTTGCATTTCTTTCCTAAATGTAATGATCAGTAGTAGAAGTTTACTGGATTCACTAATCCATATAGAATTAAATTCAAACTATGCAGTTGCTGCCATCATTTATGCCAGCAATGGTAATTTATAGGTGGTTCAGATGTTTGCAAATAAACTTAATTGAAAACTGTAAATCACCATATATTCAAAATGCGTATCAGTCAAGATAACCAAGAGAACAGAAGGAATTGAAAATGAGCAGCCTTCTGCAACTGAAAGCTTTTTCCAGCCGACAAACAGAAAAAGCTTGTGACTCAGCTCACTTGAATTCCATAATAACCTTGTGCATGAAGTAAATGGATTTTTATGTGTACTTAAAAAGTACATACATAGTGTTCTATGTACAAATAAATTGCATGACCCTGTTCTAAACAGCTCTAATATCATTCAAAACTATGTCAGCTAAGGAAAAAGGACTGAAGAGGTGAGGGATATGACAGTGGGAAAGCAGAAGATGAATCAGATATTTAGCAGTAGTCTTGATAGCATTTTGCCTTTTATTAAAATCGAATCAGTTAAATTTTGCCTTTTAATAAAACAGAATCATAAAACAGTTAGGCCTCCTCAACACCCCCAAGTCATCATACAGATCAGAAACTACTTGCCACAAGCAAACAAGCAAGTGCTTAAACTAACATGGAAGCTATGTGGAGAATTTAAAAAAAAAAAGAAGATACCATGTCCATCTGCCTCCCTCAAAGCAGAATCCATTCTGATGTTACTGCTCCTGATGAAAGTTTGTTTAACATGTTCATAAACACTTCTAAAAATGGGGAATGGACAACTGCTCCCTAACCAAGCTATGCCAGCGCCTGACCATTATAAAGCTTTTCCACTAAAATCTGAACTCCATCTTCTTTGCTCCTACTGCAGACAGTTTGCACATTTCTAATTTTCCCACTCCCTCAGCCTTTTTCCCCCTACTGTAATCAACTGCCACAGTATTTCATTTTTTTGATAAATAATTTTCTTCAGACCTCTAATGATCCACGTCATTGCCCCCACGGCTACCACCAAGCAGTCTTCACTATTTTCTGGTGTGGTGCACAAAAAAGGGGTAATCCAGTGCATTGCTGTGCACAGCTACAGACTGACTGATCCATTTTCTAGGGTCTTCTGCTGTGAATTTAAAAGCCACCACCAACTCTCTCCCCCTCTCCTGCCCACAATTTCTAGTGCTACACAAACTGGCCACAAAGAAGCATGTAGGGAAAGTGCAACACAAGCACCTGCAGCGCTCACCTGTTTTTCAGATGTGCCGCCAGGTCACATCGCTGCATCACTTCCTGACACACAGAAGAGAAGGGGCACAAAACAGAAAGCTTGTCTAACAGTTTATGAACAAGGATGCTGGATTTTTTGCAGAGTTTAAAATGGAGTCTTTTTCGATCCAGTGGGCAGAAATCCTTCTCCTGCAGAAAGTTCCTTAGGCACTTGTAGCAGAAAGTGTGTCCACAGGGAGTGTCCAATGGCTGCAACAAGGGCTGAAGGCAAATGTGGCACACCAAGTCATCATCCACTTCGTTCTGGTAGTTGTAGAGATGGTTCTCCCTTGTCCAGTGCTGCTGGCCACACTCAAAGCACAGAGGGTTCAAAGAGGCATTCTGCTCCACTGCAGCCATGTCATCACCTGCAGTCCCCATTTTACAGCTAAGAAGGCTGACAGATCCTTCTTCTCTTCCTTCTCATAGGATGGGGATGCTCATGTAAAGCTCACAGAGCAGCAACTTCTGCCAGGGTTACTTATATATGCTCTTCAGTCATTTTCTGCAACAAATAAAGAAATAGAAATTATTCATTTTGCAGGAAATATGGAAGTTCTCTTCAAAACATTTGACTTCTGGATTTCCCAAAATACAACAACAAATCTATAAATACAAATCCTTTTATAACACAAACATTTTATGGCTTCATAAGAGCTGGTGCAGTGCAGTGTCTTCACCTGCAAGATGACCATTTTATGACAGCAAGGACACCACATTATGCATTGTCACACTAGAAGCATGCAATTAGCATCTGGCAAAAAAATACCCTATTGTGGAATAATGGTCATATGATCAAATAATTGTGTTCTTTAGTATGAGATAACATTTTTAATCTGGTCCTACTGTGTTTTCTGGATTTTGACTATACAGATTATTAGGTTATTAGTAATGTTCTAAATACACTGCACTGAAAAAAACAGCAAAGAGCTTAGCCCAGTTCATTCCATTAGTAATATTGCAAATATTGCAAACCTTACTTCTAGGTTTCCTCTGTGGATTGCTACACAGTAAGAAGGACAGATTCTATCCAGTATGCCCCATCTGATTTAGTACAGAGGCCAGTAATAAAAATATGGGATAAACTAATCATATGAAACTACTGGTTTCAAAGAACTTACTTGTTTTGCTTTTTACCTAACAAAGTTATAGCACACTGAGTGTGGCAAGAAAAGACTCTGGGTCTGTCACCATGGGATTTATTTTCTAAACTTTTTATGTTATTAAACTTTGCCCCTCTTAAAATAGCTGCTTGGGCAGGAAGTTGTGCAGCCATCAGTCTGCAATTTCAAACACTAAATCCTTATCCCTCCCAACCTTATTTACCCTTCTCTCCCTTACAGAATCAAACTGCTTGACGCACATAGCATGATGATTTAGAAAATAAAACAGATTTTCTCACAGTCTTAAGGCACTTCCATATTTGTTAGTTTTGGTAAATGTTCTTACTTGTGGGGGGATAAAAAAAATCAAATTAGAGCAATGCTTACTTTGTACCTAAATTCTTTACTGCAATTCAGCAAGCAACGCTCAGGACAGAGACTGTTTTCTAGCAAATTAGTAGAAAAGATAGAGAAAAATGAAAACTAGCAGTCTATGTATTGGCCCATCATCTTTATTTCTGACTGCTGAAGTGTAGTTCTAAACATATTCTGAAGTTCGTGTCGAACACACACATTTCCTCATGTCTTACTTTTTACAAGATTCCCTATTTTGATTTTTGCCCCTTAACCTCACACAGCCAAGCACAAGACTTAGAGCACATTTTACAAGGATTATTATATCCTTTGACGTAAAAAGGATTAAATAGTAATTTGTAATCCAGGCTTCTATTCTGCCATGGAAATTGATGCTCATCGTTGCCCTGTCTTGTAGTAGATAATGTGCACCTTCTGGAAAGGATTTCACAAGGGAAGAGCATAGCAGCTCTTTGTTGCTGGAGACTAAGAATGCAAGATGAGACCCCAAAAGAGATTAGTCAAAAAACAGTCTTAAATATATTATATAAGAGCTCAAAGATTGGAGAGCAGATAAGGAGAGCAGCGCACAGGGCCCTCATGCTCAGACCAGAGCTCTCTCTCGCTGCATTCATGCTGCTGGATTAACGCAGAAGGGATGAGACCCATCTAATGGCTGGTCTTTATGTAATGCAAAATAAACCAGATAAATGTTCTAGAAAAACACAGCATTGACATGTGACTTCACCAAATTATTTTGTCAGTCAAGGCAGGGGAGGAATACACGGCACAAGTTGTATTGAACTTGGGGGTACCTGCAACACCAACAGGCCCTGCAGAGCAAAGTGACACACAGAACAGGCAGCAAAAACCACTGTACGTGTGCTGCCCAAAGTGTAGACCTGTACCTACTACTGACTACAACCAAGACTCTTCCTCCTTCTCCAACCAACCAAAAACCCAAGAAAGAACTAAGTCCTGATATGCAGAATCACAAAATATTCTGAGTTGGAAGGGATTCATCAGGATCATCAAGTTCAACTCCTGCACCGGACACCCCAAGAGTCACACCATGTGCCTGAGAGCATTTGCCCAAAGCATTCTTGAACTCTGTAAGCCTTCGTGCTGTGATCATTTCCCTGGGGATACCATTGTAGTGCTCAATCATCCTCTGGGTGAGAAACTTTTTCCTGATATCCAACTTAAACATCCCCTGCCTCCGCTTCATGCTGTTTCCTTGAATCCTGTCACTGGTCATGAGGACTGTGGGTATTGGTACTTGCCCCTCCACTTCCCACCATGAGCATGTTGAAGACTATCATTGAGGCTATGGAAAAACCCAACATCATTCTGAGCACTACTGTAATGGAGATCCAGGCAGGAATCCTGAGTGTGACCATCCCAAATTGATCTCCTTGAAGGCTTCCAGAATTTCTATCCCTTGAAGTCCATGTAACTCACATGGTAGTCTGTGACACAGCATGAGTCAGTGCCATACAGTAAATATGCCCATGAGATAGTTTGACATCTATAACTGGCTATGATCAAACAAATCTGCACCTCTCTTTCAGGACGTTGAAATTAATCCTTTTTTGTGTTAAAATTTTTAACAAGTTCCTTTAAATTTTGAACAAAATGTAAAACCAGAGAAGAGCAATCAGGCATTCACTGCGATGTAAAAAATTACAATCACAAGCCTTCTGTCTTAGGAAAGGTATACCCAGAGACAGGCTCTGTTTACAAGGGCTTGACACAGGCAGTCACTCCATTGCCACCACTGCAGGAGGTGAGCAGACACACCTGTTCCTAAGGCTGACCCATCCCAGGGGTGCTGGTGCAGGGACAAACCCAGGATGTGCTCTGCTGCAGAGGGCCGGAGACAGGCTCTTCCTGGGCAGCTGACATTACCTCAGTGCTGCCACTGCCCTGGTAACTTAAATCATCAATAAATGCCATATAAGCTATGCCCACCAACTCTTCTGCAGCTAATGTGACCACCCTTCCACACCTCTCTGCCAGCAGAGCTGTGGAAGAAAGGGATAGCACCACCACCACCTGAAAAAAAGAAATTAAAAAAAAAAATCAAGATTTCTTTACTTTCACATTGCTGTGCTCTACTTGGGGCAAGCCCATTCCCTGACTGAGGAAACAATCACCACGATTTTTATTGATCATATACTGTAGCTGCCTAATTATTGACCTCAAGACAGTTTACCATCTGTTCCCAGTGCAAAATGTCAGTTTATTTACAAAGCTCACAAACACAGAGTTTGTGGTCTGAGCAACAGCTGGGATGACAGGTCAGGTCTAAATTTCCCTGATGTAAAGCACTATATCCCTGAAATCCACAATACCAGAGCACTGCCATTTATAATACCTACTTCAACCCTCTTTCTGCATCCCTTATATTATTTTCTCTGTCTCCTATCACAGCAGATCACCAGCTCCACAGGATGATAACAGCCCAGGAAAGCTGCAAACAGGAAAAATAACCAGCATTATAAAAAATATGAAGTGGGTAAAAGAGCCAGCCAGGCCTGTTATTCAAGTCATACAATTCCCTAGAAAATAATTTTCCCAGGACTTCATTAAAACAGTCAAATAGTGCAGGTGCTGCCCTGCTTTCAGTTTTAAATTACAATCCACTTGGGAACTGGGCAAGACTGGACACCCAATTGCAAATTTTATGTGCAAATTTTTATTTTAGTTTTTTAAGTGGAGTTGGCACAAGAGTGATTTTAGACTGAAAAGGACAGCCTTATCCTTAGGTCTCCTCTTGTTCTGATTTATTGATGCAATGAACATTCTCTGGAGAAGCTCAACACATTTTTACAAAAGCATTAGATGTCAGGCTTTATACCTACATCAGATTTCATAATATTATTCCTTCTGTCTGAATGGGTGGTATTAAAAAAAAAGAAAATCACAAGCAAACTGGAACTAGCAGTAAGTAAACCTTTCAGCTGTAGTTGTCTTTACATAAGTCACAAATAGTTAACATTAGTTCCAGTTTGAAGTTAATGGAAACATGTATTTTGCAATTAATGCTCTCAGAGATTTAAGCAATCTATTTCTAAATTATCTAATTAAAATCCTAGAGATTTACAGCCCATTAACTGACTGTTCAAAATTTTACCAAAAACCCAAGTATACCCCAGAAGTAAGCAACTATGCAAAACATCCATCTTAACAATTAATCTCTTTTTAAATTACCTTTAATGCACCCCAATTTTTTATTTTGTTTACAACTGCCTATGCAATTTTCTTAAGCAAAAGCAAACATCAAAAGAACACCCTGAGATGAATGACACCTCTGTTCCTTTGGAGGACTCTATTGTCTCTGTATCCCAAAATGGCTGGGATGCAAATCTCAGTTCTGCACCTCTAACCAGAACTCTCTAACCAGGGGGATGCATTTGCACTGAGATCTATCTAACCACTGAATCAAGCATTAATTTCTTCTGTGTAATCTAAACCAGCAGCAAGTGAAAAACCGTCCACCTGTATTTTCCCTTTGATTAAAGGCCACTGGGTATTTGGTTGCTTCTTCTCTTCATCTCAGAGGAGATGAGATCCCAAAATTTTGCTTCAGGAATCACAGGCACACCTCAGTATGTAACCCTGCATTATTCCTCTCCAGTGTCGCAAGAGAGCATATGGTAAAAATTGTAACAGCTATTCAGAAGATTTCATGTGACCCTAAATTCAGGCAGTCCTGGCCTGGCAAGATTTGACCTTGAGGGGTAATATCTAACACACACTAATCAATAACTCTGAACAACAGCACAGGCATCCATCTTGGATTTCAGGAAAGGCTGGCTTAATTTTAAAATGTCACAGGATTTCCACAATCTGTTCTCCATGGACAATAGTCCCTGATTGCCTAAGCTAGCAAAGAAGGGTCTCATAATTTTCAAATTCCCCTGCTTTATTCAAATGCCATGGCTGT